GTAACTAGAAAATAATGATTACATATTTATTATTGACTATAAATTGTCACATTTAGTAAATATCATAGTAGCTTTTAGATATTTTAAATTAGTGATTTTCTTATGATATTATAGAGAAAAAATTGATTATAATATAATATATATAATTATATTAGTTATTCATGCTATATATATGTGGTAATTATGTTGAGATATTATGAAAGATTTTAAAATAATTTTGAAATAAATTTATTTGAATCTTATTAGTATTAGTCGTTAGATATAATTTATTGGTATTATCTGTTAACAAACTAATGTAATTTAATGCATATGTTAACAGTTTAATGATATGACAAAATTACCCTTACTGAAATGATTAAATTTTCTAGTGAATCCAATGGCATATTTAGTAAATACCATGATAACTTTTGGACATTTCTAATTGATGATTCTCTTTTAATAGTATAGATGTATCTCCGTTAAAATAAAAAAAATAAAAAAAGATATATTTCAATTTGAAAAAAAAAAAAAAAAAAAACTAAAACATTAATCTAAAAAGGGAGAATACTATTTAAAAAAAATAACTAAAATTAATTTAAAATTACTAAACTAAAAGTAAATTAAGCAAACATTATGTAGAGAAGCTTTTGACATGAGTCTTGATGAATATAACTTCTCTAAAAAGTACTGAGATCATATACGCGAGATGAATCTGAAGAAAAAAAAGAAATTTTGTTTACTTAGAAAGAGTTAATGGGAAAATAGTTCACATATTCGAAGGATTGGAATTGTATATCTAAGCTTTTAATGCAGCTAAACATAAAAAAATAGTTGATAAAGTGCTGAGCTTAGGACATACGTTGTTTATAAACAGAAAAAAATAGTTTTAAAGTGTTGAATTGCAAAGTGTTAATGTTTTTTATATCCACAACAGATTCTATGTTTTGAATATTTTAATTAAAAATTAAAATAAATAACTCTTAGATTTTGATTTATGTCTTTCATATGTGTTTTTTTTACCAGTAATTCAATTTTTTTATTCTTTAAAGAAAAAAATATTTTAAATTATTTTAAATTTTATTATTATAAATCTGGGTATACCTCTAATCTAGTATTTTAGAAAGATGAAAGAACTGATGGAAATGGTCGCCTTTTGCCAGACTCCTTAGCGTTTGGCAACTGGATAAATGCTCTGTCTTTAATAGACATGGGTTTCAAGGGCAATAGATTTACCTGGAAGAGGGGTCGAGAGGAGAATAACTTTGTTGCAAAAAGACTGGATAAGGTGTTGTGTTGCCCACACTCACACTTGAAGTAGCAAGAAGCGGTAGTCACACACTTACCTTTTTTGGCGTCGGATCACGCTCCACTATATGTGCAGCTGGTACAGAGGGTACGAGTAATCCAGCTAGCATACCGTTTCGGTTTGAGGCTGCGTGGCTGAAACATACAGGTTTTAAGGAGCTTCTCGTACATTCATTGGAATGGAGAATTGAGTACACCTGTAGTGCTGAAAGCTCTGAAAGGTCACCTTCAAAAATGGAACAGAGAAGTCTTTGGGGATATTCAACATAAGAAGGAGAAGTTGATGTGGAAGATTAAAGAGGTGCAGGATCTTTTGGAACATAGTCAGCCAAACGAGCTATTGCATAAAGAAGTGGACTTATGTCAACAACTTGATGTTATCCTGGAACAGGAGGAGGTTGTTTGGTTCTAGAAGTCTCGGGAGAAGTGGATAGCCCTAGGAGATCGGAATACTCATTATTACCATATGTTGACCATTGTGAGGAGAAGGCGAAATAGAATAGAAATGCTAAAAGGTGATGATGGGAGATGGATTTCGGATCCACAAGAATTGGAGAAGCTAGCTATAGAGTACTATACTTGATTGTACTCAATGGATAACGTTGATCAAGTGGTGGAGAAACTGCTTGTGGAGGGATTCCCGGTCGTGAGTACTGAGGAAATGAGGGATCTAAAGAAGCCTTTCTCGGCTACGGAAGTGGAAAGCTCTATTAGAAGTATGGGTAAGTATAACGCTCCGAGTCCAGATGGGTATCAACCGGTGTTTTATCAAGATTGCTGGGATGTGGATGGAGACTCAGTAGTCCGTTTTGCTTTAGAGTTTTTCAACTCAGGCCATCTTCCAGAGGGGACAAATGATGCGTTGGTAGTTCTAATCGCCAAAGTTCAGAAACCGAAGAGAATAATGCAATTCAGACCCATCAGTTTGTGTAATGTATTGTTTAAGACGATCACTAAGGCCATGGTAATGAGGTTAAAGAGAGTTATGCCTAAGCTAATTGGTCCGGACCAGTCAAGCTTCATCCCAGGACGTCTTAGTACAGATAACATCGTGGTGGTTCAGGAAATTATGCACTCGATGCAGAGGAACAAAGGGAGAAAAGGCTGGATGCTTCTGAAATTAGACCTTGAGAAAGTCTATGACATAATAAGATGGGATTTCATAGAAGACACATTATGTGTCGCAGGGCTTCCTCTTGAGTGGGTGCAATAGATTATGAAAGGTGTGACAGGGCCATCAATGAAGTTGTTGTGGAATGGCGAGAAGACAGAGGCTTTCAAACCCAAGCGTGGCCTGTGCCAAGGAGACCCTTTGTCTCCATATCTATCTGTGCTCTGCATTGAAAGGCTATGCCACTTGATAGAGGGTGTGATTGCTGTTAAAGAATGGAAGCCAATAAGCATTTCTAGAGGGGGGACAAAATTATCCCATATATGTTTCGCGAACGACTTAATTCTTTTAGCAGAGGTACCTGTTGCTTAGGTACGTGTGATACAAAGGGTACTAGAGCACTTTTGTGTTGCTTCAGGGCAAAAAGACTCCCTTGAGAAGTCTAAAATTTTCTTCTCAGAGAATGTTACTAGAGAGCTAGGGGCTTTGATAAGCGCAGAAATTGGGATTCCATCAACAAGAGATTTGGAAAAGTATCTCGGTATACCGATTCTTCAAAAGCATATGAATAAAGATACTTTTGGGGAAGTGATTGAGAGAGTCTCTTCAAGACTGGCTGGATGGAAGAGTCGAGTGCTGAGTTTCGCGGGGCGTATAACATTGACTAGAGCAGTGTTGGCTTCTATACTAGTACACACAATGAGCACATGTATCCTCCTGAAGTCGACTTTATCAAGATTAGATAAAATATCAAGGGATTTTGTATGGAATGATGCTCCAGAGCAGAGGAAGATACACCTTATTTCTTGTAAGAGGATATGCAGACCGAGAAAGGAAGGAGGATTGGAGATTAGACAAGCTCAGAGTATGAATAAAGCCTTAATAGCCAATTCATATACGTCATGAAGAGTCAGGTCTCTGGGCCAGAGTTCTACGAAGTAAATATCAAGCTCACGAACTGAATGCATTAACCCGGATTGGCACGAAAGGTTACTGCTCAGCAACATGGCGGAGTATTGTGGTTGGTCTGAGAGAAGTGGTTGACCTGGGTCTTAGCTGGATAGTTGGTGATGGTAGTAGGATCCTCTTTTGGCAAGATAGGTGGCTACTAGAAGTCCTGTTAAGTGATATTATGGAAAATAAGCTTCCAGAACAGAGTAAGGGATTGACGGTCCGACAGTTATGGCAGGATGGCAGAGGTTAGCTGTTTGAGCAGATCACTCCATATATCTCTACATATGTGAAGTTGCGTTTACTCGTTGTGGTTTTGGATAACTTTACGGGGGCGAAGGATAGTATAGCGTGGGGGGAAATTCAAGATGGCTTATTCACAGTCAAGTCAGCACATGCTATGCTCAAAACAGAGTATGATGGGACCAAATATTCAGGGGCTTTTTGATAGAGTATGGCCAGTCGTTGCTCCGGAAAGGGTGAGAGCTTTCCTCTGGCTAGTCGTGCATCAAGTAATCATGACAAATGTGGAGCAACAGAGAAGGCACCTCACTGAAACGGGTTACTGCTCTGTTTGTCGAGGAGGTGAAGAAACGATTATACATGTCCTTAGAGACTGCCATGCAATGAAAGGCATTTGGGATAGGATCGTATCAGCTGCCCGACACAGAGTCTTCTTTGAATATATGCTACCTGAGTAGGTGTATGTTAACCTTAGAGATACTTCAACGGTTGTGGAAGGTGCGTGGTCTACGGTGTTTGCAATCTCGATATGGTGGAGTTGAAAATGGAGGTGCGGGAATGTGTTTGGGACTAATACGAAATGTCGTGATAGAGTCATATTTATCAAGGAGTATGCAAAGGAAGTAACAGCAGCACATGATGGAGTGAGAGGACCGGGAGCATGTCCGAAAGAGTGGAAAGACTCATAGCTTGGATACCACCTATGGGTGACTGGTTGAAGTTAAACATGGATGGGGCTTCGCGGGGTAATCCGTGATTAGCAACAGCCGGGGGAGTACTTTATGATGGCAATGGAGATTGGTGTGGGAGATTTGCAATGAACATTGGTATTTGTTCTGCTCCTTTGGCAGAGTTATGGGGGGGAGGGGGGGATTTACTACGGTTTTTACATTGTCTGGGATCGTCGGGTTAGTCGGCTTGAAGTTGAAGTGGACTCGACAATACTTGTGGGTTTTTGGACAGAGCGGATTAGTGATACTCATCCTCTGTCTTTCTTGGTATGGTTGTATCATGGCTTTATCGTAAGAGACTGGACAATCTATGTATCACATGTGTATAGAGAAGCTAACCGTACCTTGCAGATAGGTTAACGAACTATGCCTTTTCGTAACCGCTTGGTTTTATGTTGTTAGAGTCTCTTCCAATTGAGTTAGAATCGATTATGTTTGAAGAGCACGAAATGTGCGGATGTAATGTGTTTGAATTATGAATAAAAGTGTTGGAGACGTTTGTCTCCTTTCCACCAAAAAAAATCTAGTATTGTAGAAAATATCACTTCAAACCATGTTTTCCGGTTTAGAAAGAAACCCAGCTGAGAAACCGAGTATCTTAATTGTACAAACCGTATTGGTTTATCGACGGTTCGTCAACATAAACCCAATCTCCTTTTATATCGAAAAATCCGAAGACTCGAAAACCTCCATTTTTTTTTTCAATCAGTTATCACTTATCAGATTGTAGAGTTAGGGAAGAATTTTTCGCAGGCAATCTAGAAGCAATCGATCCCCAAATCTCCGTCTTATTTGCCAGAATCTTACGCGGAAAATCTTCCCCAGAATTTCATTTTCTCCAGGTACTCTTTCCCGGATAATTTCTATTCGATTTTCCAGGAAAATAGGCGCACACACACTCTTTCTTTGAAGTGATTAGAACTACGTTCCCGTGCTGTTTCGAGATCGCTGCTCGCACTTTGATTAAAGCCCTAAATTACTTGTCAATTTCGTTTGGAATAACTCTGAAATCGGAGAGTGATTGATTTCAGGTAATATAAGTTGTATTGAGTTTATTAGATACAAAGATGAGAGCCACACTGGCGTTCTAATGTCACTGTTTCGGATTTTCATTGATCAGCTTGACGAAGACGACGAAGAAATGGTAATGGATTCCTTCTTCTTCTTCTTGTGTTCTTTGATCCGAAACTTGATGGATGCAGTTTTCGGAACAATTGAAATCTCTTTTGTACTCTCACGTAGGCTACTTCGAAGAAAGTGATCACACGTGAAGAATGGGAGAAGAAACTAAATGCTGTAAAGCTTAGGAAAGAAGACATGAACACTCTGGTGATGAATTTTCTTGTGACTGAGGGATATGTAGAAGCTGCTGAGAAATTCCAAAGGGAGTCTGGAACCAAACGTATCCTTTTTGTTCTTGAAATCTTTGTGAAACTTGTGCTTTAGATGTTAAGCTATCTACTCTTTTCTTCCTTCCTTATCGAGAAACAGCAGAGATAGATCTTGGCACCATCACAGATCGAATGGCTGTTAAGAAGGCTGTTCAAAACGGAAATGTCGAGGATGCTATTGAAAAAGTGAATGATTTGAATCCTGAGGTACAATTGCATTTGAGAGATCAACTTCTTTGATGAAACTTTCCCGTAGATTATTAAGAATCAAAATCTAATCTTTCTTCCAACCCGTGCTTGCAGATACTAGACACAAATCCAGAGCTGTTTTTTCATCTTCAGCAGCAAAGGTTGATAGAACTTATTCGACAAGGGAAGACAGAAGAAGCCTTGGAGTTTGCTCAGGAGGAACTTGCACCACGTGGCGAAGAAAACGTAAGTCTTTGTAGTATATTCTTCATTGGTTGGCTTTGAGGACTGCGTTTTTACATGTGGAAACATTTATATATTGCTCATGGACTGCGCAAAATTCTTGTTTTTGAACTCTTCTTGTTGATGCTTGAAAGTTGAAACACTATTCATACAAATTTGTTGATTCTTTCTGCAGCAAGCGTTTCTGCAAGAACTGGAAAAAACTGTAGCCCTACTTATTTTCGAAGATGCTGCTAACTGCCCTGTGAAAGACCTTCTTGACATTTCCCACCGCCTGAAGACAGCAAGTGAAGTAAATGCAGCTATTCTTACGAGCCAGAGTCATGAAAAAGGTAACCAAAACCAAAATCTAATGTGAAAAGATTATTCTTTTCTAAATAAGAGCTTAACCCGTAAGACAGATTGCTACTTATTTCATTAACAATCAGAAAGTTTCATTATTTCCTTCACTGGCCAAATGCATATCAATGGTTGATGTACTGACTTAAATGTTTGTGAACAAACAGATCCAAAACTTCCAAGCTTGTTGAAGATGCTGATCTGGGCTCAAAATCAACTGGATGAGAAGGCAGTGTATCCACACATCAATGATTTGTCTACTGGCAAGCTCGAAGACCCGTCAGAATAATTCCATACTTCTTTCAGCAAATCGGAAGAAAAAAAAAGCTGCTAGAGGGAACAATCAATGGTGCCTTTTCTCTTCCTTTCAATCTCAATAACTCAAAAGATTCATATGTTTTTAGCAAATGCTTTCCCGCCTTTCCGTTTTCTTCTGCATCGGGATCTGTTCGACCCCAGAATTGTTTTAGGATTATGTGGAGGGGAACATTAAAAGCTGTTGTAGGCAATGATTTACTCCTAGTCAAATGTTCTGATTGTCAAACATTTTCCAGTTGACTCATTGCATACGTGCATTTGATTTGAATGAAGTTATCGACCTTGTTTGGATCTATATGGGGTTTGTTTTGAGTATCTTGTGTTCCATATGGTTCCAATTTGTAAACAAAGAGAGATTGGCTTGTTCCTCATATGTATATATGAATCAAGAAATCAACTTGGTAAGGTTCCTTCTGTCGTAGAAAGATACTTGACCTATTGATTTATTGTGTAGTTGTTGACTTAACAAAAACCAATAGTTTGGTCCATGGAGCTGTTCTTCACTGTTAGTCACTGTTGTTCTTTGTTACAACAATTTGAACGTCATGGATCCAGTATTTTTAAAAAATTATATTTAGATTTTATTTATGATTATGTTCTGGAATCCGAATAACTAAAGTTTTTTTTTTGGCAACTACATGTTATTTTTTAAGTTGTTTTCACTTCTTTCGTTGAAAATATTTCAAGAAAAGCTGTGCAATATAATAAAGGGAAACATGTGTATCCCCAAAAAGCTATTTAAAATTATTTTAAAACCCCAAAGCTTTCACATTCTCCCACCTTTAGCCCCCACATTGCTCCCTCTTTCTCTCTTCTACTTCTGTACTTTTTATCTCTCTCTCCATTCGCCATAGCTAAGCCAATAACGAAATACAGTGAATACAACTAACAAACCCCCTTAAAGTTAAAGAAAGCTCACAACGACAAAAAAACAAAAAATAAAAACGGCATGAGAGAGCTAAAGAGCTTCAAAATGTCGTCATTGAATCAGAACCATCATCAATGGCCACCGGTGGGAGCTCCGACGAATCTCCGGCGAGAGGAGCCATGGAGATCTCAGTTAGACGACTCGGTAAACGCTGTCTCATTCGGTTTCGTTGCTACCGCCATTCTCATCTCAATGTTCCTCGTCATGGCCATCTTCGAGAGGCTGATTCGAACCACCACCACTAACTCCAATTCTTCTCCGGGTCGGGTCCTTTCGGGTCTTGACTCTCGGGTCGGGTTTAACGGCTCTTCTTTATCGAAACTTGGTTACGAATCTCCCAAAGTAAGCATTTTTCTTTCTCAGTTCCTTAATTCTCGCAGTTTCGTCTACTCGATGAGTGTTTTAATAACAAATTTTGATAAAAATCGAGGTTTTTCATTGTAAGTTTGGATCTTTGTGCTTGATGGTGCATTGTTAGTATCAAAAGCTTCAACCTTTTTGATGAATTAACAAAAAAATAAAAAGATCACATTTTTCTCCTTTTTATGAGATTTTTATGTGATAGGGATGTGATCCAGATAGTTCTTTAATTGATTTGAACACTTTTCTTTTGTCCCAAAAGCAAAACAAGAAAACATCATAGGGTTCGTGTACTCATTGGTATTGAAACTGACCCACACACATGCTTTTGCATCATCACCATTAAAACTGTCTCACAAGTTTTGTTACACACACGGATACTTATAGTGATGCATTCATTGAAATCATTCGTCATCATCTCTGTTTTTTTTTCCATATTGACGAAAGATTAGGGGAAAAAAGTAAAATAAATGTAATTTTTGAGTTATTGGTTTGTTAATGAGTGTGAAAGAGAAAGCGGATTCTATGCGTATGGAGATAAGAGATGTGGTCTCTACCATTTTGACTTTACATTTCCTAGGAACACAAAATGGCCCACTGGCTTTTTCCCTTTCTTTAATTGAGAAATCAGAGTGTGTCCTCTACATGTTTCTGTGAATAGTTTAGTTTCATAGAGATTACAGATTCCCTTTTGTCTTTCATCTCTTTAGGTTTTAATGCACTAAGCTTTAGCTTAACTTGAATAAGGTGGTCCCGTTTTGCTTCCGATTTGATAATGATGTTTGTGGTCACAAATTTTGAATGAATCTTGATAAATTTACTTAAGAGAGTTCTTGGAACGCCAAATGATATGGTACTTGAACTTGATCTGGTATTTGGGTTTTGTTGTGTTACAAACTGTCATTTGGATGAAATCTTGATCCTGTGTCAGTGATTTTGGGGTTAGAGATTAATTGGCATAATACATTGTCCACAAGGAAACCTACCATGTGAACAAAACTAGAATCAGTCAAACATGGGAGGACCCATAGAATGTGAATCTTTAAGTCCTCTTTCAATTCAAAGACAAGTGTGTGACTTTGTGCTAACATCAACTTCTGTTTTGAGTAACATAACACATTCCATGTGTCCAGCGCAATTAGAGGTTTAGACATGTTCATGTCTTGTCCTTAAAATTGTTTGGATAAACAACTTCTTAGATTGAAAACTGAGTTTTTCCGCGATTTTGCAGATAGGTGTGTACTCAAAAGGGGTCTCGGTGTTGATGCCAGGAGACAACATTCCCACATTCATCGCCCATCCCGTACCTGCACCTAGTGATTCCAACACTCAAAGTCACAGCTCAAACTCCATTCAAGAATGTTAACAGTTCGAGTTTTTGCATTTTTCCATGTTTTTTTTTTTCTACGATTATGTCAGCTTCATTGCTTAGATTTGAGGATGTTGTAATGAGTATTTGGTGTATATATAATTAGAGGAACCAAACTGCCAAAGCCATGGCTTTAAGTATATACGTTTTTGTTGAGTTTCATTTTCTTGTTACACAAGGAAATGTGTTTTGTAGATAAGAATGTGTTTCACTGTCGGTGTGAGACTTCAGTGGTCATGAATATGGTATTAATGTCGGCCTGCCCAATCTTTAAGCCCGAACCCAATAATAAGCATTAAATTGTCTAAAGTATGTAGTTGTAGTAACATGTTAGGACATGTTATCAAAATTAAATTATGAACCTAATTCATAGTTTCATTAACTCAAAATGTACCAAATTATCAATCATTATCTGGGAATCAAGACACGTAGCAAATGTGCACATTTTCCTTAACACGATGATGATCTATTAGATCTAAATCTTTAGGTTCTTCGTCTTATGTTATGATACGGTCTTAGATCTCTGACATAACATTTGTCTCTCACCTTAAGATCTCTGCCCAATCTTTATGTTATTGTTTTTTATAGACCCATATAAAAATCAGGTCCTCTAAAAACTCAAAAACTGGTGTGTCAGCCATTTGGATTTCATGAATTATTATTATGATATATTATTGTTACAGAACTAAACTATAATCTGCTTTTATAGAGCTTTAATTTTGTCAAAATGTTTTATTGAATGGTAGCTCAAGAATGTTGACCAAAATTTTTTTTTTACTTCAATGATATTTAAAGAATAAATGAACTACTGTAGCTTTGGGGTTGTCTAGATCTGAAACCATTTTATGCATGTGACTAGAAAAAAGAAAAATGTAGATATTAGATCTTTACACATTTAGTTTTAACGACATATATACACTGTTTTTAAAAAAGTTTTCATCTAATCAAATTTCAAAGGATTTATATATGGATCTTAGCTTAAAAGTGACTTTGTTCTTTTGTCCCAAGTATTGTGTGAAGTTGTTGTTGTTGTTGGTGTAAGAGTTAACATAACTTTAGTAACGTAATTATATCAAGATTCAAGAAATTGAAATTTTGCATGGGTGTTAATCACCATTTCCATTGAATCATTATAAAATACAAAATTAAAGCAACTTTACCGATATCAACTGTCCCGAAATTTAAACAATAAATACTCTTTTCAAGTCTCTCACTTCACAATCATCCTCTCTGCTGTCATCTCACAACCAAAGACTACTCCTCTCTATCTCCGATCAAACGTCGTCGTCTTCTTATCTCTCTCTCTAGCTCATGGGTTGCTGCGTCAGCTCCGGCACTGCTGATCGGAACAACGAGAACGTTTCCGACAAGAATACGGCCATTGTCGAAGAAGAAACGGTCGTTAAAGAAGTCTTGTCGGAGACAACATTTCTCACTACTTCATGCAATGTCCACGAATCGGCGGTCGATGATCCGGTGAAGACGAAGATCCGGGAAACAGAGGAGAAAAAACTCAAAAGTGCTCCGGACTCGGTTATGACCCGACCCGATGTGATTGACCCGGAAGAAGGATCGGAGGTTTCGGAGATTTGTAGCTTGAGCTTGAGCGAGAGTGTTTCTTCTACGGCTGTGATGAATGTGTACGGTGAGGAAGAAGTGAAGCAGAGGAAGTCTCAGAGATCTCCGGCAAAATCTCGGACCCGGGTCACGGGTAATAATTACCCGACCCGAAGAACAACAGATCAATCTCCTCGTAAGAGAAACATCGGTACGTGTAATGGGGCGAGAGTCGGGTCGGGTACAAGAGAGCCGGGTGAGAGATCCGGAAGAAGGTCGAGATCGCCGGCGACGAACAGATCCGGGATGGATTCGAATCAGAGTCGGGTGGGTGGGGCAAGGACTAGGAAAAACAATGAGTCTCCGGGTCGGGTTAGGAAAGATCCGAACAAGAACGGGTCGGATCAGCAACAATATCAGAATCACGGTTATACCACTGAGGAATTGTTAGAGAACCCGCTTGTTTCGTTAGAGTGTTTCATATTTCTCTGAAAAAGGAAGATCCCGGGGAATAAATTTTCATTAACGCTGGATTGTAATTTTTCTCTCATTTTTTCTCATATTACTTATCTCTTACCTCTGTAATTTATTTGTGTGTTCTTTTTTCGTGCTGATCAAAAGTTGTACTTTGCTTGAATGATGATGTATATGTATTGTCGAGTAAGAAAATTTCGGTTATTGACGTAATGTTCAAATTGAATGATGATGTATATGTATTGTCGAGTAAGAAAATTTCGGTTATTGACGTAACGTTCAAGTTGGATGAATTAGCATTTTTTTTATAAGAAAAATTTAAATTATAATGGCGAACCGCTGGTTCCTTCTTGGTCGTGCTTCCGCCCTGAAACCTCCGCATCTTATCGCTGGTGATAGTTTCCTTTGTCCCACCTGATCCCCATGACCCTTCATCCCTCCTTTTATCCCAATTCCCACCCGTTTCCCCTCCAGTTACCCAAAAATCTTAGTCTTCACCTCAAATTGCCCATGCCATGGTGTCTGAGGAAGTGTCTGTTGCTGAGATCCCTACTGCTACTACTGTTGTTGAGATCCTTACCGTTATTACTGATATCGAGATGCCTCAGTGTGAAACTGTCTCCCTTGAGACTTCAAAACTAGTTTTGCAAAAACTAGATCTGAAATTACTGTTCTAAGAAAGTTCACTATTCTGGTTCTAAAATCTACTTCTCCTCTCCAAACTAACACGGCTCTAAATATTCCTCACCCTCCCCAGGCTGCTGCAATTCATCCTCCATCCTCTGCTCAAACTACTTCAGCTACAAGTTTGCCCCAGACTGCTGCTCGACCAAGCGCACCCCAACCTCCATCTGAGCCCCACACAAATATAAGTCAAACTGCAGTCCCTCCGAATTTGGTTGAAAGGATACGAGTGTTTGAAGACCGGTCTCTACGACGTCTTGCCCCTGTTACCATATCTGAAACTGGTCGGCCACGGGTTCTCATCCCTGATGAAGTGTTTCAGCGTGGAGAAGAGCTACACAAGAATTTCATCGTGTGCTATTTTAATGGTCGTCCCCCTCCTTATAGCCAAATTCAAAGCGTGCTCAACCATATGTGGGGAAAAGGCGGAAAGCTTGAGATTCATAACAACCCTATCAGCAGAAACATGATTGTTAGAATTCCGAGTGACTACCTTAGGAAGAAGATCCTGGAAAAGGGCTCTTGGTATGTGGGGGACTCTATGTTTCATACAGCCCAATGGTCCTCTGCTCATTCTGCCGAGTCTCCTCCTCTAGATGCGATACAGATTTGAGCTCATCTCACGGGAATTCCTCTTAATCTGCGTCACCAAAAAGGTCTAAGTCTGGTTGCTGGCTTAGTGGGTGAACCAGTTGAAACTGATGATATTACTAAGAATCTTGTCAGCCTTACTTTGTCTCATGTGAAAGTGGAAGTGAACCTAACTAAGGAACTACCTAGGGTGGTTGAGTTCCAACGTCAGAGTGGTGAAGTTGTGGAAGTGCTGGTTGATAATCCGTGGTTGCCTCCTACTTGTTCTCATTGCAAAGAGCTTGGCCATATAGTCCAAAATTGCTTGAAAGTCCCTCTTCCTCCAAGAACGACAAATGCAACTCCTAAGGCTCAAGTTGCTAGGGAAGCAAAGAAAAAGAATGTAAGCTCTGATCAGGACACTGTGTTTCAACATGCTCATGATCTCCCTAACAATAAAAAAAACAAAGAGGCGGCCTCTACCTCTTCTACTCCTGATGTGGTTTCAAATTCAGAAAATCATCCCCCAGTTACTCCTGTTTCTCATTCGGCTATTCTCACTGCCAGGATCCCATTTCCTCGTTCCTCATCCTTGCCTCCTTTAGTCCCTACGACTGTCCCTGTTGTAATTGCGCTTCCAGCAACTATTACTCCCACGGGAGAGCCTTATCCTTGTAGTCCTCCTGAAAATGCAAAAAAGCCACCTTAAAGAGATCTCGTTCCAACCCTTCCTTAAACACTTCCCTTTCTCTAAATTCCCAGTTTGTTCATGCCAACTCTTTTGATCCCTTCACTCAAACTCCTGCATCTTCCGCTTCTACTTTACCTAATTCTATATCGCCTCCTACCAATACTATTCCTCTTTCTATTCATGTTTTTAAAGGTTCTTCCACCTCGGAAGAAACTTTATTATTATCTTAATGGATTCAAAACTATTTTTTTAGAATGTTCGTGGCCTAAATGACCCGAGCAAGCATCAGCCTTTTTGTCAATGGCTTATTAGCCACCAGCCTATTTTTGGAGCTATCCTAGAAACTCATATAAAAGATCTAAACTTGAGCCGTCTAATGTCTAAGCTTTGCAATGGTTGGAGTTTTACCTCTTATCATTCGTCGGATGAGAATGGCCGAATAATTTTGATTTGGAGGGATCCGGCTAAGGTTCGCATTCTCCATCAGTCCCATCAAACTCTCACCTGTGAAGTCAGCTTATCAAATTCTCATCAGTTTACCTATACAGCAATTTGTGCATCTAATGAAAGCTCAGAGAGGAATGACCTTTGGATTGAGCTTCTTGCTTTGTACCAGTCCTTCTCCCTCCACTCGGGCCCGTGGATGATCGGTGGGGATTTCAACCAAATTCTTCATTATGTAGAGCACTCGAACCCTGATATCAACACTTTCAACTCCAACATGATTGACTTTCGTGATTGCCTAAATCAGATGGGATTATTTGATTTGAGGTTTCAAGACCTATTCTTTACGTGGACCAATTGTCAACCTGACTCTCCTGTGGCAAAAAAGATCGACAGGCTCCTTGTAAACTGCCATGCGTTGTCAATGTTCCCCAACAGCACAGCCACCTTCCTGCCTCCCCTAACCTCTGACCATAGCCCTTGTCTTGTTGACCTTGCCCATCAGTTACCTAAAGCTGGAACCCGTCCTTTCAAATTCTATAACTACCTTACAAAGCACCCAAACTTTCACCATCTGTTGCAAGAGGCTTGGTTTCAGGTCGGAAGCTTTGGTTTCACCCTCACTATCCTGTGTTGGAAACAAAAGACTATAAAGAGGGCATTAAAAGAGCTAAATAGAGAGAATTTTTCACAAATACAAGTGAAAGTTTGTGAGGCTTACAGTTTGTTACAAGTTGTGCAGGTGCAAGCTCTTCAGGCGCCTTCCGCCCAACTCTATCAGCAGGAACGTGAGCTGTATGAAAAATGGAACTTCCTAAGGATCATTGAGGAGTGTTACTTTAAACAGAAATCAAGGATCAATTGGTTACAAGATGGAGATCTCAATACTTCCTACTTCTTCCGTGTGGCTCAGTCTAGAGCAAGCTATAACTCCATCCGTTCCTTCTTGCTGGCTTCTGGTGTTGTTTTAACGGACCCTTTGGCAATGAGTGTCCATGCTATTGCTCACTTCAAGTCCATTCTTGCTCCTGAGATCCTTCCTTCAATGTCTATCTCATCTCCTCTTGATTGGTTTCAGTCTCTCTCGTCGTTCAGGTGTTCGGCTGCGTTACAACTATCCATGACAACGCTCCCTTCTGTTGCTGAAATTATAAAGGTTCTTTTCAAGCTAAACCCTAACAAGGCTCCTGGGCCTGATGGGCTCACTTCTGGCTTCTACAAAGCAGCATGGGATATTCTAGGTTTGGAGGTTACCTCTTCGATCACTCACTTCTTCCAGTCAGCTTTCATGCCTGCCTCAACAAACTCAACAATCCTCACTTTAGTGCCCAAGCACCCAGGAGCCTCAACGGTCTCTGACTATCGCCCCATTTCGTGCCTTAATACTCTCTACAAAGTTGTCTCTAGACTCCTTGTTGCTCGCCTAAAGCCCATTCTTCCATCCTTGATTGTGCCCAACCAGACTGCATTTATCTAAGATCATTTGTTAGTTGAAAACACGGTTCTTGCTGGAGAACTTGTAAATGGATATCACCTAAACAAAGGCCCTAAAAAAATTACTATCAAAGTCGACATTGCATAAGCTTTTGATAGCGTCTCCTGAGAATTTTTATTCAGTTGTCTAGAGGGTCTGCTTCTGACTGCCCAGTATATCAAGTGGTTCAAAGCATGCATATGTTCGACAAATTTTACTGTTGGCTACAACGGAATGGTCCAAGGCTACTTTAAGGGCAAAAGAGGTCTAAGGCAAGGTGATCCTCTCTCTCCTTACCTATTTGTCATTGCTATGAACTGCTTATCTCTAATGCTTAACAAGGCGGCTGAGGAAGGAAGGTTTACCTATCATTATAATTGTGGGGACTCGAAGCTCACTCATCTCTGTTTTGCGGATGACCTCCTCATCTTCATGGAGGGAACTCTTGATTCAGTGCAGAATGTCCTTCAGATTCTCCATGAGTTTGCTCTGCGCTCAGGTCTTGCTGTGAGTGTCCAGAAATCCAGCTTCTTTGCATTAGGACTGTCCCAAGCAGAATGCGACATGATCAAATTCTCTACTGGAATGCCACATGGTACCCTGCCAGTGAAATGCTTATTCAACAAGTTATGGTATCCTATTATGTACTAAAAAGCTAAGCATCAACAATTGTGAAATGCTTATTCAACAAATTAAAAGTCGAATTACCTCTTGGAGTGCAAAGTCTCTTTCCTTCGCAGGGAGACTTCTCCTCATCAAGACGGTTATAGCTGGCATCTCAACTTTCTGGTGCGCATCGTTCATCCTCCCAAAGGCGTGTATTGACAGAATCAACTCCTTATATAGTGTGTACCTTTGGAAAGGAAACGTCGAAGGTCATCACTCAGCGAGAGTCTCGTGGGCAACAGTTACTAAATTATAGAGTCAAGGAGGATTAGGTGTGAGAGATCTATACACCTGGAATAGGGCATGCTGCCTAAAGCTTATCTGGCTTATCTTTTTTTCAATCAGGTTCAGTGTGGGTCGCCTGGTACAAGAGTGTGGTCCTGAAAGGTTCTCTGAATAATTTCTGGACTGCTAAACCTCATAGAAAAGCATTCATGGCTAGCAAACAAACTCCTCAAGGTTAGGGAAGACATGTTCCCATGGATAAAGCTGAGATTGGGAAACGGAAACAACTGCAGATTCTGGTCGGATAACTGGTCTCCTTTTGGGAGTATTAAAAGTTTCATCCATTCCCGACGAGGGATCACGGAAAATGCCATTCTCTCGAGTCTTCACCATCAGGGCCAATGGATGCTTCCATCTGCACGTTCCGAGAGCGAGGTCAGTCTGCAAGCTTATCTAACTACAATTGATTTAACGGCGGAAGATGACTACTATGAGTGGGTAATTGACGATCAAGTGAGCGAAAAGTTCAGAACAAGTCAAATTTACAAAAATCTTAGAGATGATTTTGAGGAGGTACCTTGGGAAAAGATAGTTTGGTCAGTTGGAGGGATCCCGAAACACAATTTCTTGACTTGGCTCTTCATCTTAAATAGATGTCCTACTAGGGATCGTATTTTAGGATGGGGTCTCCAGATGGATGCAAATTGCTTGTTATGCAACTCTTGTTATGAAAGTAAGGAGCATATCTTCTTTGATTGTGCTTTTAGTTGGGACATTTGGGTGGAGGTGGCAAGACGGAGCAATCTTCAAGCTTGTAGAGTTTGGGCGGACTCAATCTTACAGATGCAATCCTTGTCGGGAGGGAAGCATGCAAATCGATTAACTCTTCTGGGATGGCAGGCAACGATATATTGGATATGGGCAGAACGAAATGCAAGGCTACATCAACAAACTTTCCGGTCGACTGAAACTCTGATTACTCTCATTGACAGGTAAATTAGAAATAAAATTGCAAGCTTCAGAGAAAAAAATTCAGTTCTCTCTTCCAGACTGCTGCAACAATGGCGCTCGACGGAGATCCCACGGTAATTGATCTTCTCTTTCCACTTTTCTCGACGACAAATTATATTCCAAGGATTCCAAGAAATTCGTGCTGGACTTGGGCCTTACAACTGATTCACTTTAAATCTTTATATGTGCTGATTATTATATAGTTGATGTATTGGGTTTTTGCTCTTAAAATAACTATAGCCTTATGAGCTTGTAACTTTTTTATTTCTTGCATTAAATATGAAAGCCCTTTGTCAAAAAAAAATAATTAAATTATATATAATTAACATTTATTTCAATATAATTATATTAAATTTAAATTTAAATTATATATGACTTTTCTTTAAATTGAAATTACCATTATATTATATATATTTAAATTAACATTTCTTTAAACTTTATTCAGAAAAGAGAGTTTTTAATAGAGAAGACGACTGAAGGCACTATTACATTCGAATCGGGCAAGACGAAATTAACAATTAAGTGATCACCGGTTTAACAATAATCTTTAAAACAAATAATTATTCCAGTTATTATTAAACTTTATCAAATTGAAATTTCTCATACTATTAGAGATTGTCATTAAGGTCATCAGCAGTGAAAAGTGGAATACTTTTTCTGTCTCAAGAAAATGGGATCCCTTTTAGGCTTTTACTACACTTGTTTTGAAATTCTATAATTTTTTTTCTTCTCTCAAGACAATAATAATTGAAGTCATTATTCATTCAAAAGTTTGCTTTTTCCTATCTTATGATTTTTTTGTTGTTGTTGAAAATATTAGGTGATGAATGTTTGATTAGTTTTTAGTTTTTGGTTTTTGGTTTTCGGTTTTTGGTTTCTGTTTTTAGTTTTTGGTTTTTAGATTTTGGTTTTTGGATTTTTCTGTAGATTTTGGTTTTTCTAAAAACTTGAATGGTGATTTATTTGGTTTTTAAGTACAGTTTAGTTTTAATCTATATTTACTAAAAAAATATTTAAGATAATTATTGGTAAAATAATATTAATTCAATTAATATAAAAAATTTATGAGTAATAATATACATAAATGTAATTCATTAAAAATCAGAAAATGCATTTAATTTTATTTGTTCAAAAAAATAAAATTTATTTCGTAAATTTATTTGAAAAGAAAAATACTAAAAATAAACTACAATTATCGATCATCCCATAAAGATGCAGAAATTTGATCCTGAATTCCTTCCATGTATTGCGTTGGAGGGTTATTGTCTTCTTCGTCTTCATCTGAATTATAATTTTCTTCAACTACATTACTCGCTTGACTCGCTTGACGATTATTTGAATCAAAATCGTCATCTCGCAGGTTCGATAACCTAATAAAATTGTGTAACGCCATTGTCGCTGCAATAACCTTACATTGAACATGTATACCATACTTTGGTTTTTCTCCTAAAACCTTCCATTTTCCCTTCCACACGCCAAAAGTCCGTTCAATGACAGATCGCAATGAAGAATGGTGTTTGTTAAACATCTCTTTAGAGCTATTAGGCGGAGTAGCTCCATTATATTCGCTAGGTGATAGGGCTCAGGTTTTACCCAAATAAAACTACTGCAAGTGCATAGCAAAAGCAGTTGTAGTACAAGGGGTATCGAAATCCCAAGAGAGTAATGCAGACTACACTATCGAATGTAGATTCGGATTAAGCTAAGCAAAATATGATGTATGTAATGCGAATGAATGAATAAAAGTAAGCAAATGATTGTGTGATATGATCTAAGTTCAAGAAGACTAAAAGCGCTAAGTCAGGATAATTCGCAGGTTGAATCCAAGAATGTATGACGCAGGAAATCAGGAATTATTAAGAACCGTTTTAAACATGAATCACTAATGCATAACTAATCAATTCTCATTGCAAAAGTTATCTATGCCTAGATCACAGAGTTTCAAATCTCTTTGTAAACTATAACAAACTAAGCATGCAGGAATGATCAGATTCAATTGTTTACAAAACTCCTAAGCCAAATCTCTTTGTACTTAGTTGCTTTGCTCATCAAATACTAGTTCAGGTTATGAATAATGCTCTCACATATATTTAACAACCTATGATTTTCGGATTCCTAGATGATGTGTCTCAGAAATTCGATTTTAAAGCAAGCAGAGATGAAAAACCATGAGATATTCCTAACAGATAGCGATTCTACACTCTTTTCATCAACCTTTGAAAAACCCTAACTTAACTAGCAGATTACTCAGACATGATTATGAGATCACAAAACATAACTGAATAAAATTGCATTAAGAGAAAGAGTAAGAAATAAAGGGGGTTCGAAATCTTCTCAAAAGAGTACAAGATTTGTCTCCCTAAAAAGCTCTGAATAAATCTCTCTCTAGCTCTCTGAATTCTCAAAAACTAAGATAATCACCAGCAATGGCTGAAAAACCTAATAAATAGAAGCTAAACACGATCTGGAGTCTTCATGTAAATAAAGGAAGCTTCTGGGCCAATTCTGCGAATCTTCTTGATACTTTTAATAAACCGCCACGCTCCTTCCTTAATGGGTGACGAGCGTCACCAAAGGGGTGACGATCGTCACCATTTATGAATACTTTCTGCTTCGAGCTTGGTACTTCGTGGCTTCCACTCAGAATGCTCTAAAAGGTTCCAAAATCTCCAATTATGCTCCAGACATGCTATAACCTGCAAAGACTCTTCTAGGACTCTAAAAAGACCAAAAAGACTCAATAAAAAGGACTTATATAATGGTTAAAAACCATAAAAACCATGATATATCAACTCCCCCAGACTTAGTTTTTGCTTGCCCTCAAGCAAACATTAGACAAAGAATAAGGTCGAGGTTTGAAAACAAGAAACAGTCAGTCAGTCATCAGGAACACCACACTAGTTAAAGCTTTCGAATCCACATACCACAGAGTCAACACAAGATCAAATTTCAGTCTAATCATCACAAGCTTAGCAAATCTCTCAAGTCCAGTCCAAATCCCTTCAAGAAATCCGAAATTTCTACTGTTAACTCCTTATTTTTTATCTAAGTGTGAAGTCTCATCAATGCTCTATCATCTCAATCACTTTACAGATTCTTTTCCCTTCCTAACAACTGAACAAATCAATCTCAACACAGCTCTCCTATTTTCTCCTCCCTTAATCTTTTTCCTTAGGATATTTTTGATTTTTCACTTCTTTTTCTCAACTTTTTCAGTCTAAGAAATGGTGCTACTCAATACTTGTGTTCTTTGTGAGGAGACAGGTTCTTGAGTGTGTTCACTACTGTTGTTCCTTGTGAGGAGACATGGTCATGAATGCACCATTCTTTGAACTTAAACTTTTAAAAACTACATTAGGAAAGATCAAAGAGAGACTGTATCTTAACCTTATTGTCATTGCTTTAAGAGAGAATCAAGATCAATAAGAATCAATCACCAAGACAAGAAGTTTAAAGTTCATTAAGGTGGAGCTAACAACAAATTTTCCAGATTCTCTAAGAACCTAAACCTTCATTGCTAGACTGATCTACCTATGACTTTCAACTTAGTAAGACTTGTAATCAACTACTGTGGCAATGGTTATTATCAGCAAAAACGTCCTATGGCTAGTTCCAAGAAAAACTAACAGTTTCAAAAATTTTGACTCTAGAAAAACAGGTTTTTGACTCAACTTTAAGACTCTATAGACATGACACAAAGCACACAACGTCAGTAACCACCTCCCCCAGACTTAAACAACACTGTCCCCAGTGTTATTAAGCCAAGAGTTGGTGAGAAAAATGAATGAGAAGTCGAAAAACCAAGTCAGAAAAGTGTTACCTCGCGTGGGGTCGGGTGACGAGCGTCACCAGTCTAGTGACGAGCGTCACCACGACCTGTATTGCCCAATTCTTATGTCAGATGTTAATTAGCGAAGTGTTTGCATGTGTACTCGAAAGTTAGACTTTTTGAGCATTCAAACACATAATTAACAACATCCAAACATAGCAATAATAACCTGGTTCAACAATCTCACAAAACATCATCAAAGAAACTGACAACTGACTCAAAGTAAACATAAAAATGACTCAAGAGAAAGAAAAATAAAAGGGAAAAAGGAACAAGTAACCAGATAGTGAAGCCTCAATCCTCATCCTCGCAAGGCTCAGTAGTGTAATGGGGGCGGACACAACCACAGTTGCTAAGTGTAGCAACAGCATCCCAGAGTCCCTCAAAGCTGTCAATGACATACTCCTGAAAAGCAGCCATATCCATGGGTGTCTGTGGTCGTGGAGGACGCCTGAAAGCAGCAGAAGAGCCACTCCTGCGTGTAGAAGGTCCAACATCAGCAGCAGCAGCAGTAGAAGCAGAGGGACCAGCTGTAGCAGCTCTAGCAGGGCGTAGAGTCAAGGGGCGCAGAAGAGTCTGTGCTGGCATGAAGAATAGCTGGCGTGGATCTCCCTGAATAGTAGTGAGGGCTCTCTGTGGCAACTTAATGCCAACATACTCTCCAAAAGTAGTAGTGAAAGTCCAGACAACTCCAGTCTTCATCCAAGTGACATGGCGCAGATACTGGTCATCCATAAGTGATCTGTCACTGCGCAGACTGCAAGGAGTAACATCGATCTGGAAATGATGGAAGATCGGTGTCAACAAGCTGTCCACACTCTCAGTCTTCTCCCCTGGACTGGTGAATGGCTTGGTATTCAAGGAGACTAGATGCTCAGCGAAAATAGCGCCCAAGTTGGCGCGAACCATACTATCAACTGGTATCGAATCATCCAGCATCTCATAAAGTCCGTAGTAGAGGAGAATCAGCTCACTAACTCGAGTCTTACTGGGCGCAGACTTGCACAAAATGGTATGACCAAAGAGGCGCAGAATGTACCTCAAAACCGGATGTCTAACCTCTGTCTGCGTGCTGGTCTTGCTATCATAGACTCCATCCCGAACTTGGACCAGAATGTCCTCATATGGGTCCACTGAGAGGGAAGGAGAACGCCTGTGGGATGGTCAGAGAAACCATAGATCCCACAAAGCTTCATCAGACTGATCCGGTATCGAACTCCTCGGATCAGAAATGTCATAGTGCCTTCCTGCGCACGCTTCGCCAGCTCATTCGCGTAGTAGACGCGAACTGTAGAGAGAAACTGGCGGACCAAATCTGGGTACAGATCGTACTGCTGGAATGGCATAGTCCCCATCCCAATGTGCTCCAGAATCTCAACAACCTCCTCGAAGATCCCCATCTTCTGCAGAACAGCAGGATCCGCGATCCGAGTGGGGATAATCTTAACTCCCAGCCACGCATTGTAGAACAGCGTGTCATACTCATCCCACTCCTCCTGAATATCACGGAACACACAGGTATCCCAGTCCACTTCTTGCTTCGGAGTCCCTGCCCAAGCCACTCCTGAGGCTATTTTCCGATCCTCTCGTTTGGGCCATGGGGGCCTGCAAACCGGGTGCTGACTGAAGGAATCTGTAGACCCTGTTGCAGTGCTGGAAGACGAGCTTTGTCTTGGTCGTTTCTCCTGACGAGGCATCTTGCAGATCGTAAAAACTGAGTGAATATTCAGAAAGAGGAGCAAAATCCACACGGATTAGACTCTTGAATCACTCAATTTGGTTAAGAAAATCAGAAGTTATGAAATTCCCAATTTTGCTAAGTGTTCGATTTATTTGCAGTTATGCTCGAGAAAGAAGAAGAGAAAAATTTAAGACCCGTGCTCGATCCTGATGGGTGACGAGCGTCACCATAAGGGTGACGATCGTCACCGCTTTTTTTTTTTTTTTTTTTTTTTTTTAACTGAATAAAATTCTAATTACTAATCCTAAGCACGAAAATAATATCTAAGTATTATATCTACAACTCACCAGTGGGTTGCCTCCCACTAAGCGCTCTTTTAAAGTCATTAGCTTGACTTTGGTTGGCTGTTTAGACAGCTGGTGCCTGATCCAGAGACACAATGTATCCTGCTGGGATCTCTGCTTGTGCCCAGTAATGCTTCACCCTTTGTCCATTGACAGTGAACTCCTCTCCTTTGGAGTTAATCAGGACAATTGCACCATGTGGGCGAGCTTCTTTGACAGTGAAAGGACCTGACCATCGAGAACGCAGTTTACCAGGAAAAAGCTGTAAACGAGAGTTGTAGAGTAATACCTGGTCATTGGGCTCGAAATGTCTGAAGATGATCTTCTTATCATGATATGCCTTTGTCCTCTCCTTGTATAACTTGGAGTTTTCATAGGCTAGATATCTGATCTCATCCAGTTCATTGAGCTTAATCAAACGCCTTTCTGCAGCAGGCTTCAGATCGAAATTCAGCTTCTTGATTGCCCATTCTGCTCTGAACTCCAGCTCTACTGGTAGATGGCATGCCTTGCCAT